AGAAGGCATTGCCTGGTTCTCCCAGCACCATTATTGGCTCTGTCCCCACTACTCCTAGGCTGTGTCTACATTGACGCGATCTTGTGCCAAAGCGGCCGCTTTTGCGCAAAAACATGCTGCCTGTCTACACTGGCGGGGAGTTCTTGCGCAAGAACACTGATGTTCTAATGTGTGAAATCAGTGTTTCTTGCGCAAGAACTATGATGTTCCCGCTCAGAAATAAGCCCTCTTGCACAACTGTTCTTGCGCAAGAGTCCAGTGTAGACAGGCAACATGAATTTCTTGCGCAAGAGAGCGTCTACACTGGCACAGATGCTCTAGCGCAAAAGCACATCTCTTGCACAAAGGCACATGCCAGTGTAGATGCTCTCTCTTGGAAATATTTTAACATAAGAACTCTTGCGTTAAAGAGTATTTGCGCAAAATCATGCCAATGTAGACGTAGCCCTAGGGAAAGTCTATGTCACTGTGTGCACATGCAGAATTCATGCTCCCACAGATTTCTTTGCTTCTCTATAGAAAAATGACTTCTGACTTGGAAGCAAAGGGAAACTGCAAGAGCAGTCAGACCATCCCTCCCCACCAGCATGGGTGCATTATTTCAGGCACCTAAAACAGGCAGCAGAGGTAAATCACAATGAGATGGAGAGCAGAGATGACAATGCCATAGCCAGTGGCTTGTACTGTGTGCCAGGTTCAACTGCTAGTCCCAGCCTGGCTGGCAAAGGACAGTACTTGTTCTTGCCCTGCAAGAAGTAGCTAGGGCCAGGTCAGACCTACCCCCAGAAACCTGCACTTGCTCCAGGAAACTCAGTGTGCACACACACCCCTGGTTTCTGCCCCCATTGCTCCTCAGCCATGGGGTGAGGGGTCAGTGTATGGGGAGCTGCTCTCCCATCTGCTCACCCCCACGCATTCCAACCAGCATATCACCTCATTAAGCCTCAAAATTCCATGGGGAGCTTGCATGAAGGGGTTCCAAAATTGTTCCACTGAAACCCCTTCATGCAAGCCTTCCACCACCACCGCCATGTCTCACACCTGCATGCAAACCACCCCTGCTGAGCTTGCCACTCAAACCCCCACCTCACGGAATCCTAACCAATGCACCCAGGCCCCCAACCTATTATGGCCCACTTTCCCACCTGGACCCCCTGCTAAGCAGGTGTGCTGGAACCATTTTTATAGTGGGGTGCTAATGGAAAGCAGAGGTGAAAATAAGAGGGTGCACAGCTCCAGCAGGAAGTTAGCCAGCTGGGACACTCATCTGCAGGAAGAAAAACAGCCACTCCCAGCCAGGCTTCCAGGGCTTCCTATAGACTGCAGTGATAAGCAGGATGCAGGTGAAAGGGGCTG